GGACCATGGTCGATACATTTGCGTGAATCATAAATAAAAAATACATTATTTATATACATACATAAAATATTTGAAATTATATAATATTTTATATATTATCAAATAATGTAAATTTAGTATACAAATAATATACTTTTAATATATTAAAAATATATATTATATTCACGGTGGACACAATAATTTGCCATAAACCATCACCAAAAATTTTCTACTATTGGGTTGCTCTTATAGTGATTAGTGAGTCCACTTCAATTCATTCGGAAAATTAAGATGGTGGACGACTTGACCGTACCGGCATTAGCGCAATATCTGTTACGGAGTTTACCATAACTGTCTGCATCAAGTCAACACCGATCTGCTGACTGCGTCAATGCATAATTTCCTCTCTATGCAATTTTACCTAAGTCTATCATCAAATTAATTACTCCGTATTAAATACTTTATTTTATTAATAGCAGAAATAGTATAATAATATTATAAAAGTTAAATATTACTAATAATAATAATAATAATAATAATAATAATAATAATAATAATAATAATAATAATAATAAAAGGTTGTGTTGGTGGTGGTGATAGTAATGATAGTTATTGTTTTTTTTTTTTTTTTAATTGCAGTTATTATCTGAACAAGTATGAATATGAAGACGGATCACTAGAAAAACATATTTGGAATAATATTATATTATACACCCACACGACCCACACTGTATGTTGTTAACAATTATATACAAACATATTAACAAATTAATAATGTGGTGTAGTATATATGTAGTTAGAATTTTTGTCCTTTACATGCATTAACAATCCAAGCTCTGTTATTGACAAAAAAAAAAAAAAAAAAAAAAAAAAAAAAAAAAAAAAACTTTTTGGCTGTTAGAGGTTAACAATAACAAGAAACAATGATAATGGCAGAAAAGAAAGAATATAAATTTTATGTGGTTGACAACGTGCCTATGTCTACGGGGAGTGAAACTATTCTTATTGTGATTGTGTTGATACGACACGTTGACACATAGGGATACAACCAATGTATTTATATGCATCTAACCTCTGTATAATGTGTCTAACTAACCCAAACTGCTACACTCCTATTCCTTATAAGACTGACTCATATTCCTACTCTCTATATGAGACAAACTTAAGCGAATATGCCCTTTAGGAAAAATGACAACTCAGCAAATCTCCACCTTGGCGAATATGCCATTTATGAGAAAATACTTATCTCACATATACACATGGGTTGAAAGAACCATGCTCATTCCAATTGGCCAGCCACATGCACCACACAACATCAAATGTTTTTCAGTGCATGTTCACGAACTGCTTCGTCTCGAGCCATTCGCCTTCAATTGTCGACTTGCCATATCAGTCGCGACTCATGTTCATCCCAACTAGCCAACCACATGCACCATTGCATGCACTATCTAGCGTTCCACTAGTGCACGCTCACAAACTACTTCATCCCAACTCGTTCGCCTTCAGTCGTCGACCTATCATATCAGTCGCTACTCATGCTAGGTCCTCACCATGCCCAGTACCCGTTTTGCCCATCCCTACAGCACCCCTCAGTCGACTTTCACATTCGACTCATACCATACTAGCTCATACCGAGTCCATATCAGCCTATACCAGGTGAACAACCCTTCTTGGTATCCACGCTGCCAACACTACAGCGCCCCTCCCCACCTTCTCATCTAGCATCTAGAAACACCCAACAAGTCCAAACAATGTTTGATCTTGTCAATATTAACAGCTAGAACATCACCTTCATGAGTCATTAGTATGTACCACGTTCGCTGCCTCTTGTTGTTTTTTCAACTTTGGACATTATCTTTTCATGTGCCCAATCTCTTTGCACGTGTAGCACCGACTTTTCTTGCTATTTCTAGACTTAGACCTAGAGTTTCTCTTTCCAGAATTATCTCTCTCTTGCTTCCTTCTACGATCATGACTCTCCTTAGCATACAAACTTTCACAAACAGATCCCTCCACTACACACTGCTGGAAATTATGGAATTTCCGACCACCTGAAAGTGATCTTAAATCAAGTCAAAAGTAAAAAGTGGTGGGAAATAGCAACAAAGGTTTTTCCGGATACCAAAAGTGGTCGGAACAAGGCTTTCGACTTGATTTAAGATCACTTTCAGGTGGTCGGAAAGAGCAAATTACACTTTTGGTCCTGTGACTATTGGGTGTGTGTTAATTTGAGTACGTGACTTTTAAAACTAACAATTTAGTCCTTTAACTATCATTTTTTTAGCAGATTTGATCCTCCAGACCAAATTGCCGGTGGAATTTGGCCGGAAAGACATTCGAATTTTTAAATCAAATATTAGTGGGGGTAATTCGGTCTTTTTAATTGTAAAAAAAATAGCGTTTGATTTAAAAATTCGAACGTCTTTCCGGCCAAATTCCACCGGCAATTTGGTCTGGAGGACCAAATCTGCTAAAAAAATGATAGTTAAAGGACTAAATTGTTAGTTTTAAAAGTCACGTACTCAAATTAACACACACCCAATAGTCACAGGACCAAAAGTGTAATTTGCTCTGGTCGGAAATTCCATAATTTCCAGCAGTGACATTCTGCATACGCTTATTATGAGCCTTCAGGGCTGCATAGATCTCACTGTATTTAATCGTGTCATTCCCGTATATAAGAGTAGTCACCAGATGTTCAAAAGAAAGAGGCAATGAACATAGCAAGATCATTGCCCTGTCTTCATCTCCAATCTTGACATCAAGCCTGGCTAGATCTGAGATATCTGATCTGGTTGAAGACATTAATATGATGCACCAAGTTTGAACTCTCTGGCATCTTAAGCCCATAAAGCCATTGCGTTAGATACAGAAATTTTTCCCGAGTTTCTAATTTATCCCAAATTTCTTTTGGGATTTCCAGGGCCATAACGTGATACACAATTATCATCGAGCCATAACTAAATGGTTCGATCCTTCAACTCATCGCAATCAACTGGCTTTTTAGTCTTCAAGGTTTTCAGAAGGCCCTATTGTGCTAACAAACTTTTTACCCTAGACTACCATAACCCAAAATTCTCTGTACCATAATGCCTCAAATTTTGCACTTGAAACAGGGCCAACAAACTTTTTACCCTAGACTGCCATAAATCAAAAGTCTCTGTACCATAATGCCTCGAATTTTGTACTAGAACTGACCATCTCAACAATGCTCTGATATCAATTTGTTGAGATTAACAAGAATAAGAAACAATAATAATGACGGAAAAGGAAAGTAGGCATGATTTACATGGTTTGACAATGTGCCTACGTGCACGGGAGTGATGATTGTGGTGGTAACACTTAGGAATACAACCAATTAATGTATTTATCTCTAATCTCTGTACAATGAATCTAACCCAAATCGCTTATCTCATATTCCTTATATAAGTTAGACTTATATTCATAATCGAGTTAATTACCGAAATGGTCCCTTGACTATAGCGAAATTACCAATTTGGTCCTTGACTATTTTTTAAAACCAATTAAGTCCCTCAACTTTAAAAATCTTAACCAATTTGATCATCCATTTGTTTGACCGTTAGTCAACCGTTAACTTGGGACTAAATTGGTAATTTTGCTATAGTCAAGGGACCATTTTGGTAATTAACTTTAGGGGTGAGAAATTCGGTTTAGTTTTCTCGAACTGAACCGTACCAAACCGAACCGAACTAATTTGGTTCAGTAATATACCGAACAACCGAACGGTATTGGATTCTTGTATACCGAACATTCAATAAAAAATCGATCCGAATTATTCGGTAAAAAATTGAACTGAACTAAATACCGTTTGATTTTTTTTTTTAAATATAATAATAATAATAATAATAAAAATAATAAATAAATAAATAAATAATAAATCCAAGTCCCTTACTGCTTGCTCTGCCGTTCAGCTCACATTCTCACAGGTATCTGTCGTAAATATTTTATTTGATTTCTTTATAGTTTGTTATCAAAAGTTCTATATTATGTGTTATGGTGTTTACATAGTCCATATCCAAAGTCTAATATATAACAAAATAGCAATCCAAAGTTCAAAGGGTATTCGGTTCGGTTCGGTTTTTACAGAACAAATTCAGTTCGGTTCGAGTTTTTACCAAACTGTTCGGTATACAAGAATCTATTATCGTTCAGTTATTCGGTATATTACCGAATCTAACTAGTTTGGTACGGTCCGGTTCGAGAAAACTAAATTGAATTGTCCACCCTTAAAATTAATTACCAAAATGGTCCCTTGACTATAACAAATTATCAATTTGGTCCTAAGTTAACGGTTGACTAACGGTCAAACAAACGGAGGACCAAATTCGTTAAGATTTTTAAAGTTAAGGACTTAATTGGTCAAAAAAAATAGTCAAGGACCAAATTGGTAATTTTGTTATAGTCAAGAGACCGTTTCAGTAATTAGCTCTTCATAATCCTATATGAGACAAGCTCAACATTAGCTCTTATATACTTGTGTACACAATTTATTTTTTTTTTTGACGATAATGTGACTTCATAATTAACTTTTATTTTTATTAATTATTCATAAGTCCACACAAATTATTCAAAATAAGCAATTAATCAGCCTAAGCAAAATTTAAGTTGCATTTATTTTAATTCTCTAAATTTTTATTTTATTTTATTTTTAAATTACAAAAAAAAATGTTGAAATAAACATATTATTACATTTTTTTAATTTTTCTTTTCCAATCCTTCACTTCTCCAGGAAAAAAAAGTATAAATGGACAATTGACGTAGTCCCACTAAATTATATCACGTGGCAAGGCATGCAGAAATATAAAAATGGCTGAGGAGCATAATAAAAGAAAAAAAAAAAGGAATAATATTATATATAATATGATAGAGGCACACAACCCACACCGTTTGTGGTTAAATGTTAAAATAATAAGTGAAGTCATCATATCACGCAAGAAAGTTGAAAAAATGAGAATGAAAAGTATATAAAGAAGATGAGATGAGAGAGAGAGAAGCGGCATCTAAGCCGTTAGGAAGAATTGTGTGAAGGAGGGTGGCAAAAAGAGAGCCTTTAGCCATTTCTCCTAACTTTCATCTCCCTCACTCTCCCTTAAAACCTCAACCAAACACTCTTGCTTCTTCAACTCGTCTCACTCTTTATCCCCCTCTTAAATCTAACCAAAACTCTCCTGTTTTGATTGATAGATTCAAGTTTGTTAACTTGTTTTTTACTTTCTTTTTTCCCAAAAGAACAAAAAAAAAAAAAAAACAACAAAGAAAAGTAGTGTGCTGGTGGTTAGCTAGCTACCTCACTGCACTGCACTGCACTGTCTGTATTCCATTAGAGCTCTTAATTGGTTTCCATTTCTTCCCACAAATGGAAGCTTTTTATCTTTCTTCTCCTCCCTCCTCCTTTCTCCCCAGAACAAGAAGGCTTTGTTTCGTGGTCTCCAAGCATAGACTGTGCCTCCCACTCAGGATCAACAACATGGTTTACTGCCAGGGTGGTGGGAGTAACATTGTGACCACCGGGAGGGCGGTGGATCAGGCCAGCAAGGCGGCGGCGTTAATGGAGGCCGGGAGCTTGCTTTTGGCCCCCAATGGGAATGCCCAGGCGGCTGCTGCTTCTTCTGCTTCTGCTTCTGCTTCTGCTGCAGAGAATGTTGGGATGAAGGAATTGGTGTCTTCTTATGTAGAGAAGCATGAAGATGGTATTGGCATTGTTAGATTCCTTCGTGGGAAGTCCTTTCTCATCACTGGTGGAACTGGTTTTTTAGGAAAAGGTATTGTTTTTAGTATTATTGCAGATTCCCAGATTAGTTTTCTTGGTTTTTAATTTGCTCATAATATATATCTTCATGTTTCTCATCAGTTCTGATCGAGAAGATTCTGAGGACAGTGCCTGATGTCCACAAAATATACATCTTAATCAAGGCAGACAACAAAGAAGTTGCTATGGAGAGATTGAAAAAAGAAGTCAGTATATATATGCTAAAATATATGGCTTTTAATTTTCTTCCAATTTCTGTTTTTACTCACATCTTTTCATGTCTCTATAGATCATCAGTGCTGAGCTGTTCAAGTTTCTGAAACAAACCTATGGGAAATCTTACCAAGTCTTCATGCTCAGCAAGTTGGTTCCCGTGGTCGGGAATGTGTGTGAATCTGACCTGGGAATAGATGATCACACGGCTGAGATGATTGCCAAGGAGGTCGACATCATCGTTAACTCTGCAGCTAATACAACCTTTGATGAAAGGTTGCTTTAATTTGCATACACTTTTGTTTTGTTCTCAATCTTCTATTTCAGGGACTGAAATTTTTTGTGTGGTTTTTCAGATATGATGTTGCTCTTGATATAAACACCGGGGGGCCTAATCGCCTAATGAAATTTGCCCATCAATGCCACAAGCTTAAGCTCTTCCTCCATGTTTCAACAGGTGAGTGGTGTGTTTGTTATTCATAGCTATATATGCATGTGCTTCTGTTAATGGTTTTAAGCTTATTTGAATGAACAGCTTATGTTAATGGACAACGACAAGGAAAGATCATAGAGAAACCATTCTGCATAGGTGAAAGTATAGCGGGCGAAAGTGTGGTGAATGGGAATCAAGAAAGTTCAGTCCCTAAGCTGAATGTTGAGGATGAGATGGAGATGGTTTTGAGTGCTAAACAAGGTCTCTCAGATGGTGCGATGGCTCAGAAGATGAAAGAACTCGGTCTAGAGAGGTAATAATGCATCGAAAACTTTCATGGCATAGCCATTCTAGTTAAAATGGGAAGTACAGAGTTTTGAAAAGAATGGTTTTTTTTTTTTTTTTTTTTTTTTTTTTGCATGTTCAGAGCAAACAAATTTGGGTGGCAAGACACTTATGTCTTCACAAAGGCTATGGGGGAAATGATGATTGATAATATGAGGGGTAATATACCGGTGGTTATAGTTCGGCCTAGTGTCATTGAGAGCACACATAAAGAACCCTTCCCTGGATGGATGGAAGGAAACAGGTAATTCGAGATAAACTCGTTTTTCATCAGGCAGTTTCTTGTACGTTCGTCCTAGACTAACCTTAAACCTTAAACCTTAAACATTACTATCATGGAGGATGATGGATCCAATTATTTTGCACTATGGGAAAGGGCAACTTACAGGATTCCTTGTAGACCCCAATGGAGTACTTGATGTGGTAAGCCAGTTTAACTTCATGTCTTTTCTTTTTTTTTTTTAGTACTATTGACTCTGTTACAATGCAGTATCTGATACCTGTTGTGCTTCAGGTTCCAGCAGACATGGTTGTAAATGCAACCTTGGCGGCCATGGCAAAGCACGGGGCGGCTGGAAAACCAGGAACAAGCATTTATCACATTGCTTCGTCTGTTGTAAACCCGTTAGTCTTCGATGACTTGGCCAGATTGCTGTATGAACATTTCCAATCTAAGCCATACATTGACTCAAAGGGAAAACCAATTGATGTGCCAAGAATGAAGCTTTTCAGCTCCATGGAAGCCTTGTCTTCCCACTTATGGCGAGACGCGATTGACAAAAGTGGACTAACAGCTTTGGGAGATTCCAAGGGAAAGCTATCTACCAAGCTTGAGAATATCTGCAGAAAATCAGTGGAGCAAGCAAAGTACTTGGCCAGCATCTATGAACCCTACACTTTTTATGGTGGAAGGTATAAAGAAAGATACTTTAATGTCACACTTCCAACAGTTTTTTGTAAGATTCTGCACTTATAACAACCCTAAAACTGCAGGTTTGATAACAGCAATGCCCAGAAGTTGATGGAATGCATGTCTAAAGAAGAAAGATGGCAATTTGGGTTTGAAGTCGAGAGTATAGATTGGAAAGATTATATCTCCAATGTCCACATTCCTGGGCTTAGGAGGCATGTCATGAAAGGAAGAGGCTCATGCAGCTAAGGGCCACACATAATGCTTCTTCTGCTTGTTAATGTCTGCAGCTTATTGTAATGGAAGTATAGTAATGGTGCTCTTTTTCTTTTTTCTTTTTCTTGTGTTTTTTTTTTGGTGAGTTTTTCTTTTTTTCTTTCTTCCTTTTTCTCCAACAAGATGGGAGCAAAGAAATTGCATGTTAATCTCTGATTAAAGATGTAATATCCTTTGAATTCAAGTCTATAAGTGGTGTTTGGAGTTCCTTAGCAGTAAAGCTTGGAACTGAGAGAAGATGTATGTAGAAATATTACTGTATTTGGAACCTTTGTCAGTTGATTCATCATATCCTCCTTTATTAATGGTACATTTTATAATCTAATCTCTCATCTCATTCATCACAAATACTTCCTCACACAAAAGGCTATCTTTTACACACTCACAAAACTGCAGTAAATCACTATATAGTTGATATAGATTAATGGGTCCGCAAAAAAAAAAAAAAACTCGAAAGTTGAGTGAGATAGTGAATGCTGAGGTGAATGGTGGGACCCACAAAAAGAACTGGAGAAAAAACCTCAACTGTTAAGTTTGCTCTGAGATCCAAGAATGTCATCTAAACAAAAGATACTTTCCCAATTGTATCATCAAAAAGACATCATTTTTCTATAATATCATCACAAGTGTAAGTAGGTGAATAGAGATGGAACAAGATCAACCACAGACCATGCAAGGCCAGTGTACTGAAGGAGCCTAATACCAGTATCGACATCAAAGGAGTCTTGCTGAGAGAAGAAGAATAGCTTCAGTACATAACCGGCTTGTTTTGTTTCGTTTGGTTTCTTAGTGGTGTTTGGACCGCACAGCCCGGGTATGTAGCTGGTTGATCTTATCGGGATGCTCAGGGCATTGGCAAGCATGGGCAGCGTGCGCTTGGCAAGAGCCTTGCTACAGTACTTCACGAGCAGTATTGTTGGAAGCCCGACTAGCATTCTACCCACGAATGCAGGGAACGAGAGCTGAGGAGTAAAGATCCGTGGAACGTTTTCATGGTGAAACTGATGATATGTTTGCTGGACTCCAATTACCTGGTAAAGTGTTTCGTCATGAAGTTTAAACAAGGTTTTAGTCTCTTTATCCCTCTTTTTTTTCATCAAAAACAACTTTGATAAAAGCAGTTTTGTAGTTTTTGAGCATTAAAAAATACGGAGCAACTCTAATAGCAATGAAAACACAGGCCCTGTTTGGTAAATGGTTAACCTATCAGTCAATTTTGGCTTGTTTGACCACTACTAGCTATTTGACTTGGTTAAGCAACCAATATGAGTGTTGGACTAATTAGCTTTTTGTAACAACTTATTGCTCCAAAACACTAAAATTCAAAGCAGCTTTTTCGATTAGCTTTTTGAGAAAGTCATTTTGTATGTAATCAGCTATCAGCTAACAGCTAATTTACCAAACATCTTTCTACAATAAGCTACTGCTATCAACTAGTCAAACTCACTAACCCAATCAGTTAACAGCTATTTACCAAACACCCCCACAATTTCCTGAATAGTAGCGAATAATGGAAAATAAAGAAGAGAGATGTGTGCTTACAATTCCCAAAGCAACGCCATTGAAAGCTGTATGGTATTCAAAACTTGGAGTAGGCAACTCGGGAGTTGGGTAAGCAAAGAGCAATAAGAACGCAAGTGCGGTCCAAAAGGATGCAACTGCAAACGGGAAAATCTCAGGAAGTAAGAACCAGAGGAATCATTGATATTCAAAATAGCAAAAGCATAGTATGAGACTAGAAAACCCGACCATTTTTAGCAGTTTCCATTTCATCTTATTATACATTCAAAGGTTGTCCTACTAAACTATACTAGATACATCAGCACACCTCAACCCCTACATGCAAATCCATCCTAGGAAGGATCGGATAATAAAGACCCGTACTTGGAGAAAGCGTTTTCTTAAGGAAAACACAATATCTGTGTGCTCTTTACAAATAAGACACTAAAACAATATCTTTATGTTCTCTACTATAAGTTTTCCCCTTTCCAAAAAAAAGAAACTATGATTTGTAATAACAGCACAAAATTAGTGTAAGGATGGGTATGAACTTAAAATTGACGAACGGTTAAGTGTATTCATACCATTTTGTCCTGAAACTATGAAACTGTCTATGTAACTATGAGCAAAAATCCAAAATGCCAGGATTGCCAGTCCAATAGCGAGACCTCCAATAATGTCAATCAAGCTGTGCATCCCAAGGTAAATTCTTCCTAACAAGAGAGCAATTCAGTCACGAAACTCAAAAACAAATGCAGAAAGCACCGTATAAAAATGAAACTCGCCTAAACCAATCAGTCCCACAAGCAAAGAAATCACCGCAAGTCCTGCTAACTCTGTGGAAAGATCTTCATTCTGGGTGTAGGATAAGACATAATGCATAAGGAATCTGAGTTGCCATAGAAAGAACAGAAGTAAATATGTATACACATTTCCAGTAACATAGATTAGCAGCATGTTTCAAACAAGGCAATCATTCTTTTCTTTGTTCTAAGGGAAACAAGACCTCATAAAACACGCTATCCTTTTTTTCCTTATTCTGGGAGGAAGGAGATTTTGGGGTTTGAATCCAGGAAGTTCCAAACACGAAGACAAGGGCAATACTTTTGGGTTCTCAAGACTTTGCTGTTAGTGACAGCCTGAAATCTTACTACGAGGAAGATAAATTATGGCTCTGTTTGGTAATATAGTTAGCTTATCAGCCAATTTTGGCTTATTTGACTACTATTAGTTGTTTGACTTGGTTAAATAATCAAATATGAGTGTTTGATTAATTAGCTTTTTGTAACAGCTTATTGCTCCAAAATGCTAAAATTCAAAAAGCTGCTCAAAACAGCTTTTTCGATCAGCTCTTTGAGAAAGTCATGTTGCATGTAATCAGCTATAAGCTAACGGCCAATTTTCCAAACACTTTTCTACAATCAGCTAATGCTATCAACTACTCAAACCTACTAACCTAATCAGCTAACAGCTATTTACCAAACACCCCTATATATTTAGCCAAGAACAATACAATCAGTGACTATGGCACGGGATGAATATTTGGCTAATTCTATAACAATCCTGTAAGAATTCATATAAAATGTCATCTAGGGAAGGAAATAGATAAACCCCATTACCCTGACAAGCAGACAGTGTTAAGGGTATGTGAAGAAGGTAGTCCATATTCAAGTGCATTTTCTTTCTCATCCTCAGTTGCAGTTACTCTCCTAACATGAAGTGAACTAGGTCTAGGGGCTGCCACCACATCCTGAAAAGAACAATCAAACATTGAATCACAAAACAAAATCAATAGATAGAAAAATAACACCCAAAGATCATGTAGAAAGGTGAAAATGAGAGAGAAAGCCACTACCTTTATGCAGTTTCCCATATAATCACAGAAAGCCATCAAAAGGGTCATCTGCCTAGCCAATTTACAATGCCCACTCTGCAGTACAAAAGCTAAGATTTTTATACCATAAACAGAAAAAACTAGCAAAAATTTTCGCACAGAGAGAGAGAGAGAGAGAGATTACCCAGAAGAGCAATGGGAGAAAGCCAGTGTAGAAAGGTACAGAAACAATACAAGACAAACCAGAAAATAAGGCATCCAAATACCTATACTGGTACCTCTGCAGAACCCAAATTATCAAAATTCAAATGAAACAAGAATAAGTTAAAACATAATTAGGAGATAATCGCAAAAAAAAAAAAGTGAATACTCCGGTATGAATTATTGGTTTTTCTCACACACATAAAGAAAACATATTGTTAAGGTGCAAGACCTGGATCTTGAGAGTGAAGGGGGTGCCAGAGATGACATGTTGAGAAACCCATGGTTGAATGAGAGATCTAAGCTTTTCAGTCACTTTAAGAATTGAAGATATCACAACCCATGAAGCTATTCCTCCCAGAAACACACCTTGCCACCCAGGTATGCTCTTCATTTCCAACACCCTTCTCTCTGTATCTCTCTAAATATTACTCCGCAATTCCTTTTTCCTGTATTTCGAGAATTCAGAAAGAAGGGTTGATGACACCCGAAAGATTCTGTTCTTTCTCCAAACACCCAAAAAACCAAAACAAAATTAGGCTCCTTTATAGAGGTGGGGCTGGGCATGCACTTCCAATTAGTAAAATTTTTATGGAAAATAGCTTATACTATAAACAAAGTAGTGTAATAGTGTAAGCATTTAATAGAAGCTCTTTATACAAAAAATTGTTTGAAAATGTCTCAAATAGTACTTTTATTTAAAATATATTATTTAAAAAAAAAATTGCACTTATACTCCCAAAACTATGGTGGTCATCTCAATTTAGGTTCTCATCTATTAAAATTAGTAGCTTTAGTGCATGAATATCAATTTTTAGCAACTTTGATCATATCATGGCTTAATCGGGCTAATTGTCATCTAATAAAAAGTTTTTAAGGTTATATTTGTCTATTCATGACCAAAATTAGTTGACATTTTAGTCAAATTGTGACACAATAACATAAGGAAATCATCTAATTGAAAAATATAAATACTCTTAAGATTTCATCCAACTAAGATAATACTAAACTCCTTAAAACAAGGGAGTGTTACCGCCACACCTATCCCAATCGTTATGTTGTGCATCCGCGTGCACCATGCATGGTGCACACGGATGCAAAAACGACGTCGTTTTGACTAAAAACACGCGTCCCACTTAAAAAAAAAAAAACCAATTTCAATTCCCCTCAACAACATTATGTTGTTCATTGATTTCTGGATTTTTAGTTCATTGATTCTGAATTTTTAGTTCATTGATTCTGGATATTTAGACGGAAATCGAAACTAATTTTTTTTTTCATTAATGCTGGATATTTAGTTCATTCATTATTGATATTTAGTTCATTCATTATGGATTTTTAGTTCATTCATTATAGATTTTAGTTCATTCATTATGAATTTTTAGTTCATTGATTCTGAATATATAGTTCAAATTATGCACAACATAATGCTGTTGCCGAGAATCGAAACTGATTTTTTTTTTTTAAGTGGACGCGCGTTTTTAGTCAAAACGACGTCGTTTTTGCATCTGTGTGCACCATGCATGGTGCATACGGATGCACAGCATAATTTGCCCACCTATCCACTCACGGATAGATGCAAGGCTACCACTAAAACTAACATAATCCAAAACACGGGTTCCACAAGACCCAATTGTCAAATTCATCATACAAATACCCAAGAACTAGCAACCCAAAAGAAAATAACAAGCGTCTAAAGTGTTTTCAAAAAAAAAAAAAAAAAAAAAAAAAAAAAACAAGCGTCTAAAGTTATCAAGTCTACAATTTTCTCAAACCATAATACTAATGTCTCAAGGGTCAAATCTAAACAAGAGGAATCAATACGGGAGTTACAACCACTATTACGCGCTCTCGGAAGCAAACATCTACTCCAATCCTGAAGAGGTTTAGTCTAAAACATATAAAAATACAAAGTTATCATAAAAATGCTAAGTAAGAACCACTCTGCCCCGTAAAATAATTAAATTTTTATTTTAAAAAATAAGTATACTTTTGTAAATAAGTTTTTATACTCGAATAACCTAAATTTTAGAAAAGATTTAGCTAAGGGTCTTACAAGTACATTTTCAAAAGAGTTTTCAAGGCATCTCTAGACAACATTTTACCAAATACAATAATTCTCATAAATAAATAAAAGAGAAAGACTTAACGAGTATAACTCATACTAAAAACAAGAGATCCCCAAGATAAGCATTTAAATTCATTTCTAAGGCATAGTATGAAACTATGAATATCATAAGTCATTCAAGGCACAATACTTTCTCACAACATATCTATAATATACATAAATGTAGAGGATTTCAAAATATCATTTTTCGACATAATGATTCTTATACAATAGGCAATTAAAAACATTGTCTAGATATGGAGGAATTTACAAAGTTAGGTAGTATTGCTCGATAAACAATCATCTCAAAATATAGATTTTCTCAAAAATCATTCTCATACACATACATAGATATATACAGTTATGGAGGAATTTAAATCATAATTTTTTAAAAAAAATGTTTTTCCAAGTATCACATACACATATAGAGGAATTCATATCTTACTAGTAGGGCATGAACATCATCGCAACAAAGTCCTAGGTGAACAGTAACTCCCTACTGAACACACCACAAAACTCAACTTTACCAAGGTGTAATCAAGACCACTACATTAAGTATGCACACCCCTAATTAAGATTCCAAGCCCACCGGGTAGTAAACTATTCCTATTAATCCATGAAATTTTCTACTAGGTTACCCTCAAATAAAGTATCCATGATATTTTCTACCAAATACAATTCACAAAATAGGGCCGAAGCTCACCAAAATCAATCATCAAATAACGTATTCAGAATGTTTTCTAGCATATGCAATTCACAAAATAGGGTCGAAGCCCACAATCCACATATCCTCCAAAATATTTACATTTTTATAATCATTTCCTCCAAAATAATACATTTGTATATATAAAACTTCTCAAAATAATATTATACTTTACAACATATATCTCAAAATATATAACACAACCATAACCTTTCCAAAATAATATCAATTTACACCAATACTCTTTGCCCTTAAGCTATCAAAATAACATTCTCAATTACAACACTATATTCACTTGTATAATTTTCTCAAAAATAGATTTTCAATATATACATAATTCATTTTCAAAATAATAATTTCACAAACATAACATTCTTTACTCATAAAATATTTATAACACAAGTGTCACGAGGCATCTTCAAAACAATAAAAATATTTTTTCAAAGATATTTTTCAAAAATTATACAGAAAATGACACATAGTACACTACTAACATATTATAAACTCCGTGATGGACTTAGTTCCTACTCTTTTTTTTCAATGAGGCATGAATGTATTGAACTTCGACTCCTTTTGTCAGGCTACTAGCCAAAAACTTGCCAAACTTTGTTCCAACTCCTTTTTTCAAGGAGACATGAATGGACTGAATGTGGACTTCTTTTTCATGCTACTAGTCCAAAATTCAAACATCAAATTTTGTTTCGACTCCTTTTTCAAGGAAGCCTGAATGGATTAGTAAGAGAGATTTTTCTTTTGTCTGAGTGGACGGTAAACCCTTCCCCTTCTGCTCCATTTGGGGTAACTCCTACTTCAAAATTTCTCACTACCCCAAATCTTTTGAGGACGCGAGAAACACCAACACACAAGTAGAGTGTTAATACCTTTAGTAGACTTTTTATTTTTTTTAAAAAAATTATATATATATATATATATATATATATATATATATATATATATATATATATATATATATATATATATATATATATATAGTGGCTTTCCTGTGAAACCGTCTCGCGGATCCTAAAAAACGTAATACTAATACTAATAAAAAATAAAATATTGATTTTTTTTTTTTTGAAAGCAAACCAATGCGATTTTCTTTAGAGATAAACTGAAATAGAGTCAGGCCAGACAACGTCCCAATACATAGTCGTACCATGTTCAAAAGCTGTAGAATCTAAAGTGTGAGCTAAATAATTCTGTGATCTAGGAATAAAATTAATTGAGCAAAAATCAAACGTAGATATGCAAGCTTTGCAACCATCAATAGCATAACCAATATACGATCGAGGCGGAGTACCTGCTGAAGATAGGTAGCACTGAAGTGTATGACAATCTGTGTCTAGCTATATAGACTGTTCTCCACGAGCCCTTCGCTATGACAAGGCATCTTTGAACGCGAATGCCTTGGCCATAAGTGGGAAACATAACCACCTTCGGCGACGAGAAGTATTGCTCCGGTCGTGGCCGAGTTCGTGGCATGATGATACCCAGCGTCGACGTAGCACCTTCTCTGACGTACTGCAGCAGTCTAGGTCACAACAGTAGGCAGTGGCGGTGGAGGCAGCGTCGGCTCGGCAGTGTTGTCAGAACCGGCATCTTCGGCTGGCGCATAGTCGGCAGCCGCGTGGTGTACTCGTCGCCATGCCTACATGGTGGCAGCCGCTGCGGCAATCAATTTCTTCGGCATTGGTAGATAGGCGTCCCAAACTGCTCCATTCCGCGCTCTCCAAATATGATATAAAATTGCAACTGTGTACATAATTCCATTAGTGTCTAGAACATTCAAGATTGCACTAAACCATATATGGAAAACATTTGTCACAATATTGGTGAGTGGAAGGTTAGATTGAGCCCATATGGAATTTGCATAGCCACACAATACCAATGAGTGCATAGTGTCCTCATGAATGATTCCATACATGGCACAAATCGGATTAACATTTACCTTCTTTATAAGCAAATTGTTGGTAGTGGAAAAGATATCACTTATAGTCCTCCATAGAAAGGTCTTCCACTTGGGTCGAATTTTAAGCTTCCATAAGATGAACGATTTATCAAAAGCACCATCATTGAAAAATGCAATATTTTTGAAAAAAAAATGAAATATTTTATATTTTAATTTAAAAGTATTACGTTTTTTTCTTTAAATTATTATACTTTCCTTTATAAATAATAAACACTTTAGTGTTGATTAGTAAAAAGTATTACATTTTTCAGACATTTTTATATTGACTTGAACAATGATCCGTGAGACGTTGAATTTTTACTTATAGAATATTTTATAAATGTTAACAAAAGTTTAAAATTTTTCTATAAAAATCATTTAAATTTTATAAACGCAGTCTTGAACTCTTGATGGAATAAACGAACCACAACTCTCAATGGAATTCCCTTTTCATTAAGTTATGAGGTTATAGTCTGGAAGTCAAACTTTGCCCATAAAAAGAACTCCCCCATCTTTCATTTGAAAGAAGTTTTCTTCGCTATTCCCTTCAATATCTCGGCGACACAGATGGCGGCGACAACGTTCTCCCACCTCCGGTACTCCGACAGCCTCACCGTCGTCGGCATCTCAATCTGCACTGCAGTAATCTGCGAAGCTATCTCATGGCTTCTAATCTACCGCACCAACTCTTACAAATCTCTGAAATCCACCATCGACAAGGCCTCCAAGAAGCTTGAGACCATGAAAACCCTTGAATTATCCAATCCCGCTGCTTTCTTGACCACTAAAAAGTCCAAAACTAAGAAAATCGATCGCGTCGAGACCTCACTCAAGGAGTCCAGTCGCGACCTCTCACTCTTCAAGTTCAAATCAGGGTTTGTAGTGGCGGTGGTTCTCTTTCTGGTCTTCGGGTTTCTCAACAACCTGTTTGAGGGGAAGCCAGTGGCGAAATTGCCCTTTGTGCCCATTCGGCTCGTTCAGAAGATGAGCCACCGAGGGTTGCCCGGGGAGGATATGACGGATTGTTCAATGGCATTTTTGTACTTCCTTTGCTCAATTAGTATTCGCACAAATCTTCAGAAGTTCTTAGGGTTCGCACCACCGCGCGGAGCTGCTGGAGCTGGCCTCTTCCCTATGCCTGATCCAAAGACCAATTGATCCCGGTGATCCAAATTCTTGTCTTATTAATAATTTATTTTTCCAGTTTACCTTTTTGAATCTATTTTGAGTTTTTGCTATTAGAAATAGCTGTTTCAGATTTTTGGTTTACACTTTGATGATAGCAATAATTTTATCTCGGGGACATAGTTTGTTTCATAGAAACTACGTTCATGGAAAATGTTTTATCTTTGCTTGACCATTTTCATTGAAAGTTTGAATCTTTAATGTTGGTATTTATTTTATTTTAGCATCATATGAAGGGTTCTTTTCTGATGTTTTACTTCTATGTAAAATTAAATGCTGTTCCTAAGGTATTTCTTATTGATCTTCATTCATTTGGTGAGAGAGATGGAATGGTGTGTTTTGATGTTGTAAAGTTTTGCATCAAACTGTTAGGCATCTTCCACCTCTTATATAGTTGATTTAATCAAAACATTGAAAACTAGCATTTTGGGAGGTTTCATAGGTTTCCTGCTTGTAATAGTTTTGACACTATATAACTATTAAGAGTATTTTTTATACTGAACTAGTGGTGTTATGGTCCTGTTTGGTAAAATAGTTAGCTTATCAGTCAATTTTGGCTATTTGATCACTATTAGCTGTTTGACTTGGTTAAGCAATCAATATGAGTGTTTGATTAATTAGAACTTATTGTTCTAAAATGCTAAAATTCAAAAAGTTGCTCAATGTAGTTTTTTTGGATCGGCTTTTTGAGAAAGTCATTTTGTATGTAATCAGCTACCATCTAACTTACCAAACACTTTTCTACAATTAGCTAATGCTATCAACTAGTCAAATCCACTAATCCAATCAGCTAACGGCCATTTACCAAACACCCCCTATATAAATATCTATACAAAAGGTCTACTAGGAGTAGTTCTTTAGTGAGTTTTAGCCAGCATCCCCATCCAATGCTAGCCTCTAAATTGAAGGTGTTTGGTGTGCTCTTTTACCTGTTTAGTAGAATCTAAGGAATGGATGGACCATGTAGTTTAAGAATTTTACAGATGTACAGTTGGAGATTGGAGAATAAAAGATGCTAAAGTACCAAAGTCTAACTGATTAACTATATTATGGCCTAGTCATTTGCACAAACAATCAATTTGGTACATACAACATGGGAGGTGTCAAGTTAATAAGGGAAAAAGGCAGACTAGTAAGAAAGAAACCTGGGCAATTAAAACCAACCCTACCTAGGAACCTAGCAGATAGGGAACTGGCATGAAGTATTGTTGCTTTTAGTTAACAGATTTAATCACTTAAACTCTTTGTGTTCAATGGGTTAACCAAAATCAAAACCCATGAATTCTCTGGTCATATCATGTTGCTTCAGGGTTATCGGTTTTAGCTGTGTGGCTTTGTCCCATGTTTTGGCTAGTTCATTCTCATGATAAGCTTCTCTTGATTTGGATTCTTCTGACATTCCTTTGTAGTTGAGTATCTCTGATCCTTTTTTGCTAGAGCCAGTTTCACATGACAGGCTTTCATACAATCATACCTAAAAACCAACCCTTTTTTGATATATGACACTAGCATTCCCTGGTTGTGTCACTTCATATGATACGGCCATCTGTCTATTTTGTGTGGCGATATTCTGTTTTTGTGCATAGCAGGACAGGGTAACTCTTTGGTGCTGTACCAAGCAACTAATATTTCATTTTTGGGTTCAAGTGATTTGACACTCTATCTGACTGCGCATTTAACAATAGCTGCAGCAGATGCTAATTCTTTGGCGTATGAACTATCCTCCTTCAGTTTCTGGTTCCAAAACTCTGGTGTTCTTTTGAATCAGTTCCAAAATAATTCTGTATGAGAAATCTAAGTATGCCAGGCAGGTGTTTTGAATCATTAGCTGCTTCTAGAAAAAAATGAGGGGGGCAAATGGAGTTTGCCCCCAGAACATCATCTAAATATCAATAGCATCAAAGTTTCAAATAGCTTATTGTAACTCTCTGCTTCAGCTCTTCTTGCTGTGCTAGATAATCTGGAATTAAGTATAGGTCTTGACACGAGATGAAGCTTGACACTTTCCAGATTTATAAGAGTTTAGTAAGTTCGGAAACCTCAACAATCCAACTTCTGCATAACATTCATCCCTTGCCAGTAATAGGATGCTCGAGACATTTAGTTTCAGCTTTTCTGAGTTAGAACTGAAACAATAGGGGAAAACAAGACCCTTTTGTACCAACACACACACAAACTTGTGAAGAAGAAGAGTCTGGTGATGGATTAGAAGTTCCATGCACTGTTGACCTTCCACAAAGCCTATATGCACACCATTTTGATGCCTTATTTGTGAATATTATCATTCACCAATCACACACAAAATGGGGAAACTTGAATTTTCAAGACAAAACCCTTTTACTCAACACAATACAATTCTAGGCACTTATTAGACGGCTCACACTCTGGGCTCTTCTCGGAAATTGCTTTGGAAATCTTTTGTTTCCACTATTGGTCCTCTTAGGAAGGTTATTGCCAAAATTTCTACCATTCTGTCCTTGCAAGCCTGTACTCACTTCTCTTACAAATATATATGATATCTTATGTGTTTCCTATCTTGAAAGGAACTTTTGATGCTACAAAGCCACTGTATTCCTTTGCCTATGGAAGATGAAGCAAAACTTGAATCATAAGATGAACCCAAACCACTACATTTCACATATGTGATATCTCACTGTCAAATGCAGTCACCAATCAGAAGTCAAGAAACCAATGAAAAGTAATGAATTTTTCTTCATTTCACATATGTGATCATTTTTCTTCCACCCTTAGTGAGAAATTTCATTCCAAAAAAAGGGACCATATACCCATCACTTGTCAAACTACAAAAATACCATGGGCATACAAAGAAAACTATACCAAAAAAATTACAAAGACTGAACTTAATTTGTGGGTATTTATAAGCAAGCTAAGGGACATATTTAAAAGCTAGATTGCAAAGTGACTTTGCTAGACATAAATTTTGAATTTGAAAATTTTAAATAAATATAGTCAACACGACAAATAATGTATTTGGCTGTCCAAAAGTATTAGAATTTGCATATACTAAACTATTACACTAAATATAATGTAATATTAGTAAGCGCAGGCTATGTGTGTTGTTTAAGGTGTCCAGGATAATATATTCTTTTAGTAAATGCAGGCAATGCGTGTTGCTTCCAAGGTGGACCAAGGCCACCTTCTATGGTGGATCCTGGTCCAAAACGACATTGTTTTATATCAAATGCCAATTAGTACATCATATTTAACAACATTATCATAGACTATGTTCATAATATTTGTTCTATATGTCCATAAATCAAACTTTAGTCTCCATAAACACAAAACTAAATTACATTATATGCATTTTCATTCACCTATAGTTGGTTCATAATATTCATTCTATATGTTCATAAAAATAAAGCTTAATGTTCATAGACAGTATACTATGAACGCATCATGTTTAGTAATATTCATTGTGTGCTATACACATAATATTTGTTATATATGTCTATAAACATAAACATTAAAGTTCATGAACACTAAACTAAATATACATAATATGTATTAATTACATTCACTCTATAGTAGGTTCATAATGTTCATAAAAACAAAGTTTAATGTATATAAATATTACTATAGACGCATCATGTTTAATAATATTTATCACGTATTATGTCAATAATATTTAGAAAAAATTTCACTTTTGGTCCCTGACAATAATACATGAATCACATTTGGTCCTTGACTATTAAAATTTTCTAATTAGGTGCATGACTATGTAATTTGTATCACATTTAGTCTTCTCGTCCAATTTTCCAGCTAACTATTGCCGGAAGTGCTACATTTGCTTCTTCCGGAATGACCACTTATGGAAGGAGCACTGCATGCATTTACTTATTTCGGAAGGAGAACTTACGACAATAGTTGGCCGAAAAATTACATAGTCATGCACCCAATTAGAAAATTTTAATAGTCAAGGACCAAATGTGATTCATGTATAATAGTCAGCGGATTAAAATTGAAATTTACTCTAATATTTATTTTATATGTCTATAAATATAAGTTGTAATGTCCAAAAATTCTAAACTAAATGCACATCATCATATGCGACAAATTATGTTGTGGAATCATGTCCACCTTGCAAGGTGGACACGGTTCTAAAACTGTTCACAATTATGAATATATAGTTCAAAAATTATGAAGCTTCGGAAAGTTGGGCCATGGATTGAGAGGTTGCAGCACTTATTTTTGGCAATAGAGGAAGAGGTGCAGCTGTAGGTGCTCAAGAATCCACAAATGGATCTTATATTATTTCAACTTTTGCATCCCACTTAGAACAAGCAACACATAGTCAACCACATTCACAGCAATCCTGTTGGAATAAATTGTCAAACAACCCTGGCAATTTAACAGTTTTGCTAGGCCAAACAATAGAATTCAAGACACTTATTAGACGACTCACACTCTAGGCTCTTCTCGGAAACTGCTTTGGAAATCTTTTGTTTCCACGTTGAGTGTCCTCTTTGTAACATTTTCATTATAATTACACTATTAAGTGGTGCAAGTTTAATAGGTCATTTATGGCCATTATGTTGTGGTTTGAAACGGAAGTAACGGTTTCCGTTACTTAGCCTATAATGATGGCATGTAGGCTATTTAAGCATTGTCCTCCCATTGCTCCTGTTGCAGCCTTACAACTACACCATCTAGTTCATACAGGAGATTAATGGTAGACAACAAAACTTTGATCATTGGAGTTCTTGAAGCAACAATACAATTCAACAAAGTATCAACTATGGCTGGAGTTTTTGCTTGATCATTATGCTTCCGCTATGAGGTTAGGTCATCACATGTGTTCAAATTGTGTGTGTATTCTAACACTCTTACGAAGGTTATTGCCAAAATTCTACCATTCTGTCCTTACAAGCCTGTACTTACTTCTCTTACAAATATATATGATGTGTTTCCTATCCTATCTTGAAAGGAACTTTTGCTGCTACAAATTAAAGCCACTGAATTCCTTTGCCTTTGCCTATGGAAGATGAAGCAAAACTTGAATCATAAGATGAACCCAAACTACTTCATTTCACATATGTGATATCTCACTGTCAAATGCAGTCACCAACCAGAAGTCAAGAAACCAATGAAAAGTAATGAATTTTTCTTCATTTCACTTATGTATGTGATCATTTTTCTTCCACTCTTAGTGAGGAAATTCATTCCAAC